GTGGATGATGAGAAGGCCAGTCACTGCCAGCCGGGGTCCCTGCCCCACACCACCACAAGCAGTGGGGAGAGAGGGGAGCCCCTGCATCTGGTGCAGATGTTCCTTGACCTTCAGTAGAGGCAGGCAGTTTGAAATTCAGGAAGCAAACCCTAACCTGAGTGCCCCAAAACAGTGGGTGGTCAGAGCAGGCCACTCACTGCAAGGAGGGGGTCCCCCACAGCCCCAGGACCAGGCAGAGTGGGGACTGGTAGGGAATTTTGCAAGTGAAATGTTCCTGGGAACTCAGAAATGTGTGGGGTGGGTGACTGATGAACAGAGCAACTAAAGTGCATGGCTTGCCAAGTGCAAGTCACAGCTAAGCAGGCTTTTACCAACTCTGGAAGAAAACCCTAACATGTAGCATTGGGTGCATGTGGTACAGGTTGGGTAGCTCTGGGTAATTAAGCATGGAATAAGCCCTTGGCATACCAGAAGGTAATGCAGGAATGGGGATTTGTCTCTGTGAACTGCTTGCTAGGGCATGGCTTTCTCTATTCCTAATGGGGCAAGCAACAAGAAAACAATAATGCTGGTCCTAGAACAGTCACATCTATAGGAAACTATAGGGTTTATTGAACTGGGCTGGTGTCTGGTCAAACCCCTGGAAAGCCAGATTTGGAGTCTGCCTCAAGGCACAGACTGATGAGAGCTGTAACCTGAGCTGCGGGGGAACCTGAATTGATACGTAAATACTGCAAAATGCCGATAGGACAATGCACTGTCCGATTTCAAGTCTCCCCTGAAAAAGCAGACCCGGGGTCCTTGGACTCTGCAGCATGACATAATGAAATCATGTCTGACTCTGTATGAAAATCAAAAAATAAAATAAATTTGTTCAATCAAAAAGAGCATGGTCAATGATTTCTCATGCTTTGGGGTGCCTCTCACTTCCAACCCGCAGTCCCTGCCCCGCCAGCACTGCCACTGCTCTTCACTCCCAGCCCACAGCCTCTACCCGCCAGCCCTGCCCATCCAGGGCCTGAGGGCTCCAGTGAAAAAGAAGCTTCATTGGAGCACTGTTAATGCAGACAAAGCAATTCAAAGGGGGTCTGGGTTTTTGGTTGGTCTAAGGCCATAAGCAGGCAAGGTTCTTTGGGTAGATGTGGTATCTTTTATTAGACCAAATGAGTAGTTGGAAAAAGGTTCTTGGCAAGCTTTCGGGTGCAGTCGCCCTTCTTCAGGCACGGGGACTCTCTGCTGTTCTGAGACTCCAAGAAATGAAAGAAGCTAAAAGTGTGGCAGGGTGTCAGTGAAAATGTAAATAGGGTCGGCACTCCAGGATTTGGCCAGAGTCATTCAACTGGTTTTATAGGTTCTGCTGAAGAATCAAGGTAATGGTCTCAGGGGTGGCGAGTGGGAAATGGTCCTCTCCAGTCCTACAGGTGGCACAACATACAACAATCACACAGAAAACATAATCATGCTTTACAGCCAAGCCACTGCCCCCTGCTGGTGCCCCTCACCCCCCTCACTCCTGCTGGGGTGGCCTTAGCTCTGGGGTGTAACAGCTCCATATAACAGTGTATGGGGAAGGCTGAGAGACACCTCAGTGCTGGGTGCAATGGTCACATACAACATTTCATCACAGCCCTCACCATACATTGTTATACGTAGCCATTACAACCCAGAGCTCGGTGCATCCAGGACCCAAGCCTCTCCAAGAGTGCAATGGCCTGGGGGTTGTGGCACGAGCATGTGGGGGGCTGGTGGTTTGCGTAGGCAGCACCCCGTACCCCCCCAGCCCTGCCTGTGTCCCTCACTCCGAACCTGAAGCCCCCCGCCTCACCAGCCCTGCCAGCGCCTCTTATTCCTAGCTAATCTGCAGCCCCCCCCAGCCCAGCTGGTGCCCCTCACTCCTGACCCACAGCACCCTGCACTCCCAGAAAGAGGAAGCAGTATGACTGTCAGGCAGAGCAATGGCAAGCAGAGGATGGTCAAAGGAGGACAGGGACATGCTGCTGGGGACAAAAATAAGCTTAGAAGGAACAGGAGTACCAGAGAAGAGGGGCAAGCTTGGGGGTAGAGGACAGGAGGGGAAACAAGTATTGAAATGATCCGGTTGTAGGATGGGGGGATATGACTGCAGGTGATGATGATCTGCCAATGCAGCAGTTAAAAGATTGACATGCAAACAGACGAAGTGATAAGAAAATTCCTCTCATTGAGCCTGGGCTATTTCTTTCTTCACCTCAACCCACACCATGCCGCTGCCATGCAGGGGTGGGGGTGTTAGCTCATGCTGGCCACTGCGTGGTGATGGGAGGCAGGGGGGAGAGGGAGTTGGAGTAGGCTGATTAGGCCCTCATCCCCACTTTGGGGGAAGCTGTCTTGAGCACGAGGATCCCTGGTACCCAAGGAATCTTAATCAACCTCGATAAGAACCCCAGACCACCCCCACGATGGTTCTCAGCTTTGGAAAAAATCCTGCTTTGTGACATGAGGATACAAACGACAGACACAAGGCACAGGATTCTTTCTGGTTTACATAAAAATTCCTGTAGTAATGTTTCCATTCAGGCTTTAGCCTGGGTAGCCTGGGTACATGATACCCAGATGCCAACATACAGGGAGGCAGGGGGTGGGAAGGCAGCCAGACCCTTTGTGTACCCTTGTGTAGCCCTAAGTGTACCCCACACCCAGCGGCCGGTGCAACAAGCGTTCAGAAAAAGTAGAGGGCAGAACCGCTTTGGGTTCAGGCTTGGGTAGGGGGGCAGCTCCTTCGGGAGGCCTGCCATACAGACCCCTAATGCCAGTCTAGACTTGTGAGGGGGAGGCAGGCAGGCTCACTCTTGCGGACCTTTGTATGAAAAGATTTCCCTCCCCAACCAGCAGTGCCCTATGCAACAAGCAACAATCACTCAAAAAAAAAGCAGGAGGCTTTGCAGGGGAGGCAGGCAGCACTGCCTATTGAACTCAACCCTCCCTCCCCCCACCCCCAATGCATGTCTCTCAAGCAAAACCACCAAAAATTCCCCCCCAAAAAGCAACCTGGTATGACCCAAGAAAATAAACCAATCAAACTATCAAATCTTATCCTAAAACGCCACCTGGCAGTAAAGTAGTACTGAAAGGGCAGGAGGGTAAAATTGTTCTGATGTGCCCTCTACCACACTTTACTAGTTATAGCATAATAAGCTATTGCATGGTAAATCATGTCCACGTTACTTATTTAGCCATCTTAAACTAAGAAAGAAAAATTAAGCCAGGAACATTTTTATTGACTAAATGCCGAGTACATGTACAAGGGCCCATAGTACAGTTTCAACAGCGATAGCATGTCTAAGTTGATATAGAGCATAATCCTGATCCAACTGTCAAATCTTTCTGTGCAGTCAGTGATCTGCAGAGATTGTGCAACACGCCACCAATTTAACATACATCAAGAAGTTACCCAGTCCCCTTCCTCAATGCAAGAGGTGACCTATACTGATTTTTTACATTTTATTGTTTGAATTAATCATGTTCATAGTTGATATCTATATATAAGGAGAGCTCCCAGAGAAAACTGACAACACACTGCAAATAGATATTTGCACTGAATTCTGATCCGAGTCATCTATGCAGACAGAGACTTGAATCCTGTATTGTTATCTATGACTTTTTGTGTCTGTACAGCTAGATTTTTTTTCCTCATTATCCACCAAGGCATGTACAATCTCTTGTGTTCTACTGTCTTCTATAAAAAAGCATCTTATACCCTACTGCTGTCCTGTGCATGGGCTGGAGTACCCATTCCTCAGAATAAGTGTACAATTTACCATGAACAGCACGTGCCCCTGGGAGCTAGGGAGGCACGGCAGTGGTGGGAGTGTGACAGTGGTGGCAGGAGCACGGTGGTGGTAAGTGGAAGCTCCTGCAGATGCCACTGGCGCTGTTGGCGGCAGTGGGGTGGCAGTGTCCCTGCGTGCACCCCCTATGTGGTGCCCATGCAATTTACGCTGTGGACTCAGCAGGATTTTCTTTCTTATTCAGTTTCTTCTCAGTGCTACTGACTGACATTGACTTGACCTTACATAGAACAGTCTGAACTTTGCTGGCACACATAAATTTCTTACTTATTAAAAGGAAAGATTTAAAGGTTTGCAAGTTGCCTGCTGCAAGACAACATGTGCATTTGGCAAATGTAATTATAATAATCTCTTCCCCCTGCTGCTTATACATGCAGTTTCTAGCCTGAGGCCAACAGGTGTGATCAAAAGTAAAAAGGCATGTGATGCTAATATCTATACCCAGGATGTGTACAGAGACTTTCCTGCAGTTAAGATGTCACTTGCTAGGTTATGTGGGCAGTTATTACTATAACCTACAGCTACTTGGCAGCTATGTCCATGGCACGGATCTGATCAGCTTGTGTGCAGGCACAATGCCATTCTAACAGATGGGCAAGGTTACAAGTATCCAAGTCTGTGCACCATCTTATATTGATGGACACCACACACTCTTCCAGAAATATCTAAGTGCTATCCATCCTGAACTGCAGCACTAATGACTACATCAAGGTGCTATTGATAATTCAACTCAGAGGGCAATTTAAAAAATATTGTATGCTAAGGCCCCAGCATTTATGTTCATCTTAAGGCACCTTTAAACTGAAGGATAGGTACAAAAGGGCCTTGGTGGAAATGAGAATCAGACCATTTAGCTGTGGAATGCAAGATTAGTAATACTATGAATCAGGAGTGTTCCGGTTTTTTGTTACCAAGTGTGTTGATACAGAATGCGAAGGAGTGATTCCTTGACTGTTGGTGAGGGAATTTGCCCCCTGTTGAAGGTCTTTGTGATAGTCAGTGGAAAAGGACATTATGAAAATCCACACCCCTGTTTAATCCACTTGGTAGACATAAATTTAGGTGAAATTATCCTAAAAGGTTTCCTTGGCTCAGCCTGCTTCATAGTATCACCAGTGAGGAAACCTGTTCTACATAAATACTATGTTGTGCAAAGAGTTAAAAGCAGCTGGAGCATTGGTGGCTCAGTGGTAGAATTCTTGCCTGCCATGCAGGACACCTGGGTTTGATTCCCAGCCAATGCAAGTTGCTTTTTAGGACATGCACGTTAATGGTGTTATTTGATCCCAGCAGTCTTTCCTGCCCAGAGCAGGGGGCTGGACCTGATGATCTCATGAGGTCTCTTTCAGCCCTAAAGTTTGGTGAATCTGTAAATCTGTCTGCAGTATAGTATTGTATACACTACTTAGTATAAAAATTGTATTGAAAAACAAACCATTTGATTCAGTATATACCCAATATGACAGTAATGTTAGATTATGTTGTATGGTGTTGCTGGTCTAATATACACCACAATCATGAAAACAAATCTACAGAAGAGCCATGTACCAGTATGGAGACACTTTCAAGCCAGGGAACATAGTATTGCTCCCTGACAGAATTTGACTGAAAACCTTTTCAGGTTCATGACCATTCATTTTGAATATATATATATTTAATTATTTTTAGATGGGGGCTGCCATCTTGGTGTCCTGTTGTAGTGGGGAGTACCCCAACAACTTTTATAGGGGTGACAAGACTCCCCAGAAGTCCCCAAGGGTAGGACATAGAGGCAGCTGCCCTCTCTGGGATCGGAGACTTACTGGGGAAGATGCCGGTGGCATGGTCTGGAGAGTTCCTGGCACCACAGCTCCCCCACTTTATCAGCTCATGCCAGATCCGGGTTGGCCAGTGCACAGTGCACCACATCATAAAGATGGACCCTGCACTAGCTGAAGTTAGAACACAGCCCTAGGAGCACAGCTGTAGGGGCATTGACCTGGACCACAGACTGCCCCAGCAGGAGTAAAGGGAGCCTCAGCACCGAGTGACCAGATCCATGCCACAGAGGAGCTGCAGCATGACACGGAGGTCCCAAGAAACATAATTTTCTTCACTGGACCGGCAACAGCAGTGAACTGAGTCCATTCCAGATGGGGCTACAAGGCCCTCTGGTCAGGTTAAGGGTTAGCGACGCTGGATGAGAAAAAATTAAGGACTTGGCAGACTATCCCTGACGGGCATTGTCATAGAAGACGATAGAACTGTGATAAGGGGGCTGTCAAATATAGAGTAAGAAACATAGACACAGGAAGTGTGATATGCTGAATCCATAGCCTGCCCCCTGAGGGGGACTGTCACTAAATTTCTGAAACCACCTACCAGGGCTGGAGCCCGACTATTTGACCAACTGGGAGGACAGTGCCATCCCACCATCTGATGGCACACAGCCTGGACAGACCATAAGATCTGGTTGGCATAAGGATGGGGTCTAAGGGGGAGGCAAAGCCCCAAGAAACAACAAGACGCTTGTGAGGGCAGGTGTAAACCATCGAGGATCCTCCCCTCTTATTTAAAAGATGCAGGCAAGACAGAGGGCATGCCCTACTAACAAAAGCCAGCAAGATCAAGCTGTCAGGCCCCAAGAACTGCTGCTCAATGGTTCGGAGCCCTAGACCTCAACAGCAAACTCAAATGAGGCATGGCTATCTAAATGTCCCCTCTGAATAAGCACCTGGAGCTGGTGTCCTGATCACTCTCCCCTCCAGAGTTACACTTCTGGTGAAATAGCCAAAGAAAAATGATAATACAGTAGTAAAAATGATTTTTATGACCTGGGCCAGAAATCACTTTTAGGGACCATGAGCTATGTATTTTATATATATACATATATATATATACACACACACACATACATACATACATACATACATATACATACACACACACATATATATACATACATACATATACATACACATACATATACACATATACATACATATATATACACATACATATACATATATACATACATATACATGTATATACATATATACATATATATGTGTAGATTCTATGAATCTATGAATCTATTAATCTATATGTACATATACATATACATGTATATATACATAAATATACATATATACACATATATACATACACACACATATATATATACATATACATACACACACATATATATACATATATACACACACACACACACAGAGGCAATACCACATGCTACCTTCCAATACACTTATAAAATTTCCACTGAAGTCATTCGAAGTTGTGTGAGCACATATAAAAACATAATCTGGCCTTAAGTTTTTACTATTACATTTGGGTTTAAATTCATCATTATTTCAAAAGTTACATAAACCTAAACAAAAAGGACAGTTTTCAGGTATATATTTATATGATTACAGCAATGAGGAAAAGTGCCATACTTTATGACAATAGAATCATAGAAAATTAGGGTTGGAAGGGACCTCAGGATGTCATCTAGTCCAACCTCCTGCTCAAATTAGGACTATCCCCAACTAGATCATCCCAGCCAAGGCTTTGTCTAGCCAGGATTTTAAAACTTCCAAGAATGGAGAGTCCACAACCTCTTTGGATTACCTGTTCCAGTGTTTTACTACCCTCCTAGTGAGATAGTGTTTCCTAATATTCAGCCTAAACTTCCCTTGCTGCAACTTGGGGCCACTGGTCCTTGTTCTATTATCTGCCACCACTGAGAACAGTCTAGCTCCATCCTCATTTGAACTCTCCTTCAGGTAGATGAAGGCTGCTATTAAGTCCCCTCTCAGTCTCCTCTTCTCTACACTAAATAAGCCCAGTTCCCTCAGCCTCTCCTCAAAAATCATATGCTTCAGCTCCCTCAACATTTATGTTGCCTTCCACTGGACTCTCTCCAGTTTGTCCACATCCTTTCTGTAGTGGGGGGCCAAAACTGGGCACAGTACTTCAGATGTGGCCTCACCAGTGCCAAATAGAGGGAAAGAATCACTTACCTTGATCTGCTGGCAGTGCTTTTACCGATGCAGCCCAGTATGCCATTAGCCTTCTTGGCAACAAGGGCACACTGTTGGTTCCTATTCATCTTATTGTCCACTTATTTAGCCTAGAGAAGAGAAGACCGAGGTGGGATTTAATAGCAGCCTTCAACTGACTGAAGGGGGGGTTCAAAAGAGGATGGTGCTAGGCTGTTCTCAGTGGTGGCAGATGACAGAACAAGGAGCAAGGTCTCAAGTTGCAGCAAGGGAAGTTTAGGTTAGATATTAGAAAGAATTTTCTCACTAGGAGGATAGCAAAACACTGGAACAGGTTACCCAGAGAAGTTGTGGAACCTCTGTCCTTGGACACTTTTAAGACCCAGCTAGATAAAGTTTTGTCTGGGATGATCTAGCTGGGGATGGTCTTGCTTTGAGCAGGGGGTTGGACCAGATGACCTCATGAGGTCTGTTTCAACCCTAATTTTCTATGATTTGATGATTGATTCTATGTAAACCCTAGGTCCTTTTCTGCAGAGCTGCTTTTTAGCCAGTCAGTCCCCAGGCTGTACCAGTGCACCAGATTGTATCGTTCTAAGTGCAGGACTTTTTACTTCTCATTATTGAACTTCATGAGATTTCTGTTGGTCCAATCCTCCAATTTGTCGAGGTCTCTCTGAATCCTAGCCCTACCCTCCAGTGTATCTAGTTCTCCCCGCAGCTTGGTGTCATGTTCAAACTTGCTGAGGATGCAGTGTTGGCTGCTCACCTGCTCCCCAAACTGTGCTGTCTGGTGCAGTAGTCTGGGAGCTGAACTTGCCTGTGAAGACTGAGGTGAAAAAGACATGGAATACATCAGCTTTTTCTGCATCCTCTGTAACTAGGATGCCTCCCCCATTTAGTAAAGGACCCACACTTTCCCTGATCCTCTTTTTGTTGTAGAAACTCTTTGTTACCCTTCGTGTCCCTTACTAGCTGCACCTCCAATTGTGCTTTGGCCCTCCTGACTTTATCCCTGTATACCTGAGCAATATTCTTATACTCCTCCCTAGTTGTTTGTGCAAGTTTCCACTTGTTATAAGCTTCTTTTTTGTGTTTTAACTCACTGAAGAGTTCCCTGCTAAGCCAGGCTGGTCTTCTGCCATATTTGCTAGTCTTCCTGAACAGCAGGATGGTTTGTTCCTGACTCACAGTAAGGTTTCTTTAAAGTACAGCCAGCTCTCCTGGACTCCTCTCCCCCTCAGACTGGCCTCCCAGGAGATCCTGACCATGAATTCCATGAGTGAGTCGAAGTCTGCTTTTCTGAAGTCCAAGGTCCTTACTCTGCTGCTCTCCATCCTTTCTTTCCTCAGGATCCTGAACTCAATCATCTCATAGTTTCATAGTTGGTAGGGTCGGAAGGGACCTGAGCAGATCATCAAGTCCAACCCCCTGCTGTGGCAGGAAAGAGTACTGGGGTCAAACAACCCCAGCAAGGTGTTCATCCAGCTGTCTGTTAAAGACCCCCAGGGTAGGAGCCAGCACCACTTCTCTTGGAAGTTGGTTCCAGAGCCTAGCCACCCTGACAGTGAAGTGGCGCCTCCTGATGTCTAGCCTGAATCTACCCTCTGCCAGCTTGTGACCGTTATTTCTTGTCACTCCTGGGAGTGCTTGGGGGAACAGGGACTTCCCCAGTGCCTGCTGGTCCCCTCTGACTAATTTGTAAATGGCCAGTAGATCCCCCCTCAGCCTTCTGTTATGGAGGCTGAACAGGTTCAGGTCCCTTAACCTCCCCTCATAGGGCCTGCCCTGCTGACCCCTGATCATGTGGTGGCTCTCCTCTGGACCCTCTCCATGTTGTCCACATCCCTCCCGAAGTGCAGCACCCAGAACTGGATGCAGTACTCCAACTGCGGCCTGACCAGTGTCGCGTAGAGGGAGAGGATCACCTCCTTGGACCTGCTTGAGATGCATCTGTGGATGTATGACAAGGTACGGTTGGCCTTCCTGACCACGTCACCACACTGTCGGCCCATGTTCATTTTGGCATCAATAATGACTCCAAGATCCTTTT